CTCTACCACTGAGCCACCTTCCCAGCCCCTACTTCCAGTTTTTTAGAAGATAAAAGTCTCATGAACTTTTCTGTCTGGCTTTGAACTACAATCCATAGATCTCAGCCTCCTTTGTAGCGAGGATAACAAGTATAAGTCTTTGCACATGTGTTAGGGAAAACTGAAAACCAGTTAGAGGAGTGAGTTAGGCACAGAGCTCCTGGCACTCAGACATGCACTGGACTACATTTCCCAGGGTTTCTTGCTGCTAACGTGATCATATAACTGCAGCTAGCCAAAGTTGTGAGTGGATGATTGAGTCCAGGCCCCCCAAAACTTCCCACTGACACTCCCTCCAGGCTTTTTCTCTTGCTTCTACACTGCAAGGATGATAGCCATATTGACCTAGGTCCCCCCTAGATTCCCAGAATGGAGGAGGAACCTCACACATCCCAACACATTCAACTGTCCTACAATGCATGAGGAACAAGAATAAGCTTATGATTTAGTCATGATACATTTTAGAAAATACTTGTTACAGCAGTGAGTACAGTACCTCGAAAGCTATCAGAGGGTGGCGCCAGTGGCGCATGCCTGTAATCTCAGCTATACACGATGCTGAGATTTTAGGATTGAAGTTTGAAGCCAGCACAAGGAAAGCTCATGAGATTCCAACTAATTAGCAAAAATTCAGAAATGGAGCTGTGGCAAAAAAAAAAAAAAAGCTTAGGAATAGCACCCAGGCCCTGAGTTCAACTCCTTGGACTGGCATGCGCACACACACACACACACACACACAGATCCACCAGAGAGGCCAAGCATGTCAGCATACACCTGTACTCCCAACGGTCAGAAAATGAGACAGGAGGATCATAAATCGGTGATCCACTTGGGAGCTAGGAAAGCTGTTGTCTCAAAAACACGCACAAGGGCTGGGAAGGTGGCTTAGTGGTAGAGCGCTTGCCTAGCATGCATGAAACCCTGGGTTTGATTCCTCAGTACCACATACACAGAAAAAGCCAGAAGTGGCACTGTGGCTCAAGTGGTAAAGCGCTAGCCTTGAGTTGAAGAACTGAGGGACAGCGCCCAGGCCCAGAGTTCAGGCCCCATGACCGGACCCCCCCAAAAAAATTAAATAAATAAAATAAAATGAAACCCTTGGTTTGATTCCTCAGTACCACATACACAGAAAAAGCCGGAAGTGGCACTGTGGCTCAAGTGGTGGAGTGCTAGTCTTGAGCAAATAAAGCTCAGGGACAGTGCCCAAGACCAGAGTTTATGCCCTAGGACTGGCAAAAACAAAAAACTCCACAAAAGGCAGACACATGAAAACCTTGCCTTCCAGCTTATTGAACCAGTCTCTAGTTGGGCAAAATTCCAATTGAGCTCATTCTTTGCTTTTTCAAATGTTGTACTGTGTGAATATGTGCAGATTTGCCTAGAGACATCTACACTGTAGATGAACTGGTTAACTGGCATGTACATTTTCCTCCTCCAGTTAGAACCCATTTGATACCTATTACCAACATACCAGACAGCCTGGAGCCCACACTGTCATTTGATGATGGAGCACACACAGATTTTGCTCTGACAGACAGATGAAAGAAATTGGGGGTCTGTGTTCATTTGGCTAGCCTACATGACAATTCCTGGATTTCCTTTTCCCTACATGTTTCTGGTTAGCGCAGGCCCCACAAGAGAAAAGCTCTTTAAAGGCTTGGCAGCTAGAAAGGAAGCAGCCATTGGTTTTGGAGCTCACTGCCATTGCTGCTGATCTACAGGACCAGTTCAGTGGGTTGGCAGACCAAAGGCTGCAACTGTCCATTTTCTCTTGGATCAGCCCATC